ATTCGCCTCTACAGCAATCCAAAAAATTGCCAGAGGATCTAACCTTTCCTCTCTCTGAAAATGTTGTTCTATTTATTGATGTCATTCGCTGGAGAGATCACCTACTACATCCTCTCCTGACAATAAACACTTGACAGAGGCTTTAACCCTACCTGGTCTATCCAAAATAAAATAAAATGTTATGGCTATAGTAAACCCTTTTGTGCCACCGCTGCTGTGATTGGCTGTCACAGTGGTCACGTGATTTGGAGCTCTGCATCAAAAACAATGACCGTGAGCTGACAGCTCAGTCACTGTGCTAGGAGTGCACAGTGAGCGTATTCTCAGCACAGAATAAAGGTTCCCCATGAATGCATATGTGAGGTTTCTGAGCATTAAGTCCCACCTTTTTTGTCACTATATATATGTATACAGCCAGCAGGAACAGGTTCCACAATTAATAAACATTTTGCTTGGTTAAGTGTAGAGAAAGAAAAACCATACACAAGCGCTCAAGTCTGTAAGTCTCCCAAGACCACAGTAACAGTCACTTCTTGGGGTGCAGCCCTCTAAAGATCGGGGAATCTTGATGGTACTGGAAGAAAGCAAAGAAGGGGCGTACTCTCCTCGTACATTACCCGCGATAAAAAGGAATTTATTTAAAATGACAAAAGTGTATACTCACAAACCAAGACTCATAATACAAGCTGGAAACCAGTATGACAGGCTGAAAAAACAGTAATCTGACAGCAGGGTGTGCTAACGCGTTTCGGGAGACGTACTCCCTTCTTCAGAGCTCTGGTTTCCAGTTTGTATTATGAGTCTTGGTTTGTGAGTATACACTTTTGTCATTTTAAAAAAAAATCCTTTTTGTCATGGTAATGCACAAGAGAGAGTGCACCCCTTCTTTGCTTGCTTGGTTTAGTGTATTTCATCCAAAATTACTCCATGGTATAACTACATGCATATGGCTGCGGTAGAGTCACTAGGATCTAAGATTACGATCCAAGCTCATCTGGGGACAAAGACTTACAGTATGTGTAAATCTGTGGAATAGGTCAGCACTACATAAAAGAGTAAAATAAATACATGCTGCACATAAAACATTTAGCAGTTCTGGGTTTGCAGATGGCCTCTGGGAAAAAAACGAGTGATGTTCAGGCCTCTATTCACTAGGATTCCTTGCTTTCTGGTTTTCAGAGGGAGTGAAAAAGTGAGCAACTGCTGTTTTACGTATCTCAAACACAAGGGTTTTCTGTTCCTCATCTTAAAAATGATGAGGTATTCTTATTATGAGTATGAATGATTCATCCCTTACTTGATAATAAAGATGTATTATTAAACTTTGTATATAAGGTGCAGTTATATTAATATAATTCTAATTACTTAAGCCTGTCCTAAAGTGGAACTATGGGCAAAATATATAATGATATCGCCATAACATACTTTTCTACTTGTTGATGTGGCCAGTAAGTCTGTTATTTGTCATTTTCCTTTAAGTTGGAATCAAAGTTGAAAAATGTAAAAATTGCGAACAGGCAGGGCCTTTACTGCAGAAGAGACATGTCTCTTCAGCAATGAAACGCATTTACCTACCTGTTCGCAATTCCCTATAAAATGTACACTGAGTTTTTGGGGTTTTTTACATTGTCTATTTTTTATTTTTTTTCTTTTCTCACTTTTTGGCTATCGCAAGGGAAGAACAAAATCCTTTGTGATAGCTGGAGAAGTGACAGATCATCTTTATGGAGAAATCTGGGGTTTATTTGACCCCAGATCTCTCCTCTGCCTTTCAAGCATCAGACCCAAAAAATACAGTTTACATTTCGACAGACTGCCTGTGTGCCAGGAAGACCGCAGTCTTGCATATGAGCGGGAGTGACTTCATCCTGCATCAGCCAACCAAGACAGCTGAAGACCAGCGAGGGACCTCACAGGCGTTGGACCGCTGCAAATAAGTTAAGTCTTTTTGCCATTAGTTTCACTTTACCAATACAGGTTGTCCAGCAAAAGTGTCAGTTAGAGTGTTGAGACAAACCATTTTACACTGACAGGGGTGCTTACAATAGTCAGATTTTATTCATATAACTAAAACTTTTATCCCCAAAAAAAACCTTCTGCTATAGCTGCTTAAAAAGTGTTATCTGCAGCAAAGCTTTAATTTTTTAGTCACTTATATAAAGTCCCTCAAAATCTACTAGTCCATTTAACACTACCATCTCCACAGGCTGACAATGTTGCTGTCTAGGGTGGCTCCGTATTTCCTCTATAGAGAGGAGCCACTTATAGGACGGGAAATGTGTTACTGGCTGGGTCACAAGATGAAAATAAAGAGAAAATGCCTAAGAAGATAACATGAATGATTCCACCACATCTAAGGATTGGTAAGCTGCAATATAAAATATAATATAATATATGTAAAATATCTAATATAAAATATATTATTAAATATAAAATGTATTACATTTCTGTTTTAGGTTAGATATGCTTTTAAAGCCGAAGTACAGCCAAAGTTCTTTTGGCTGAACTTCTCCTGTGGATCACAAGAGTGCAGTTTGTACTGCACTCCTATGACCTGTTTTCAGCTGACAGCTGGCTGAAGCCCGCTGTCGGCTGACATCACGGAGCTGGTCCAGGCTGGGGAAAGATCACGACTTTAAATTCAGGATCCACCCCAGAGTCTGTAGCAGCACCTGGCTCAGCCTCTCAGCGAGCCACTGAGAGCCTGAGCTAGATGCTCCCTCCCCTTCCACAGGCCAGTGCTCCAGTGAGCGTGGAGGGGGGACAGAGCAGAGAGTGGTGACCGACAGTCACTTATCTCTGCTCACAGCAGTGGTGAGAACTCAGTGATCACTGGCCATGTGATTGCTGAGTTCTCACACTTAGAGCCGGTGAGGGATGGATGCAGCATCGGACCGACCTAGGTAAGTATAATTTGGAAAATAAAACTTCTCTTTTAAAGTGATACTAAAGGCAATTTTAAAAAAAAAATTAATAATAAATAAATAATAAATAATTAATAATAAACATGTCATACTTACCTGCTCTGTGCAATGGTTTTGTACAGAGCAGCCCGTATCCTCCTCTTCTCGAGTCCCCTGCTGGCACAAGCAGCTTGCTATGGGAGCATCTGAGCAGGCTCGCTCCTGAGCTGCTGCTCTACATGTCCATGTAGAGCTCAGGTAAGTGTTAGGGTTGCTGAGGGGACTGCTGCATACAGAAGGTTTTATATCTTCTTTTACAAAGAATTTTATTACAGAATAGGAAACAGCAGAGAATCAGTCAAAAACATATGCAATGACCAGCAAGAATATAACATACAAAGGATTCGATGACTAATACAAAATATGTACTGATGAGAAAGCATGAAAATAAACTGTGTACATAAGTGACGTATAGGAAGAAAACACAATAAATTTAAAAAATGATAGACATTTAGGGGTTTATTTACTAAAGCTGGAGAGTCCAAAATCAGACTCACTTCTGCATAGAAACCAATCAGCTTCCAGGTTTCATTGCCAAAGCTTCATTGAACAAGCTGAGGTTAGAAGCTGATTGGTTTCTATGCAGAAGGGAGTCTGATTTTGGACTCTCCAGCTTTAGTAAATAAACCCCTTAGAGACCAATAACATAATGAACTCTAAGGAAAGATTATTACTGTATCTGCATACAGAATGCGAGAAGAACAGAAGAATGAACCTCTCTGAATACAGAGAGCTACTGAACACGCAGGCTCTCTAAGGAGTCCAGCACATGGATGCAGTATTGCTGGTACGGGGCTCAATACAGGGATCACAATCAGCACAAATAGCCTGAAGAAGACAGACTAGACAAGAGGAAAGAAAAGAGCGAAGACAAACAAACAACAACAAAAAAAAAAAAGGGGGGGGGGGGGTTTTTTATCTTCATGCATAGAATGCATGAAGGTAAAAAACCATGAGTCTTTACAACCACTTTCAGTGTGTTATGTTTTCAAGTAGTGTAATAAAATCAGGGGTGGATGTAAACATTATTGGGTTCTTTTAAAATTGAGTGTTCTGTTACAGACTACACATTTTATGAACATTTCTGAAACCTTGAAGTAACATGTGGGGTTGAATATAAACGCATTATATCATTTTTTTTTTGTATAAATTATTTTATGAGCTACAGTGACCTCTAGTGCTGAGATTTATTTTTTCAAATTAAAATGACTAATCTCGGGTTTTGGTGGTCATGGCAGCACTTTACCAAACAGAGCCTGTATCTATGGGTCTGACTAAGGGAACAAAACTGAAACTCATATGTCACAGTAGTAGTCAACAGTAGGGGCTGGTTCACACCTCATCACACAGCAATACATAGCACATAATGCATGTGTCCTGCTGTAAAGGTGTCCTGCAATGCATTGCTTGCTATGTTTTGTTCTTTTTTTTAACTCTATGTTAGTTTTATGCATTGCAGTGCATTGTGATGTGTTGCAGTGCGCTGTCATGCACTGTAATAAAACAAGGTCAGCATCACTGTATCTGCAGACACACCACCCAGTACATTGGTGTGAATGGGTCCTATGCAGGGGCAGACTGACCATTTGGAAACTCGGGCACTGCCCAAGGGCCCAGGGTCAGTAGGGGGCCCCATGAGATGCCCCTGGTACCTTTTTCATAGGCTTTTTTGAGTTTGGGCAAGGACACAGGGGCCCCATGATCCCCTATTGCCCGGGGGCCCCATTGTTGTCAGTCCGCCCCTGATCCTATGCAACCCAGCTTTTGCCCTATCTTTGTATTGAGACTGCATTTGGCAATACTGCCTATTGTATCCAAATGGGGCTGGTGTCAACAGGTATGTAAAATCAATGATTACAGATTAATCTTGCATAAGCACAGAAAAAATACAGGAAATGCTATCTTTCACACACACAAATATATTAAAACTCAAAGCATGGTTAGAGATTTACCCAGGTAACCCTCTAACCTTTCCCGGCTCACTGGGCATGATGGTTACCTGGCTTTCCTGATGAAAAGCTGGGGACAATGTTTGTGTCTGTAACATATGTATACTGTATGTTCTTCAGTAAGTCTCGTCTCAGCAATTTTCTTCATAGGCTCAAATGCAGCTGCTAAGTCACTAGCTAGATAAAAAAAATAGGAGAAAATTAATATTCCATATACTATTTAATAAAATGTATTTATTTTGTATATGAATGGTTGGGTACAATAGCATTAAAAGTGGTGGCATCATGTGCATAGGGTGAAGTGCAGCATTTTTATATGGAGCGATGGACATTAGTGAAGAGGAAAACCTTGTATTTGATGCTTTGATGAAGGTCTGCTTTCAGGGGGATATTTATATAAAGAAAAAAATCAGAGAGAAGAAAAATGGAAAAAAAATTAAGTTTTCTAGCCATAGTGATGAAAACAAAGTTTGACTTTAGATATATACTAAAGGCTGCCATTAGCTGAATCAGGCAACATTTGAGACGTGGGTGTCCCTGTTGACACCATCGAGCTCAACAAAAGTCAATTGCTCTATTGTCAAAGGAGCTGGGTGGAAAATAATCAGCCAAAGAGTGAAGGCATCCAATCAGATAAAGCAAATGATCAGACAGGTACCAGCTATCAGAGTGCAAAAGCCAGCAGGCCACATTTGTCCATCCACACCATTTAGCATGCATGGAGGAACAGGTCTCTATTGTTCAGCCCGCACCTACTACATTAAGTAATGGGATAGGAGAGAAGGTATACAATAATCAGCAATTCAGGCTCTTTTCAGGAAGTGATGGCAAAAATACTTTGTATTAGTGAGCCAGACAATGGTTTTTTTTAGTGTTATTACCAAATTAGAAATAGTATGAAATAAAACCCCCAAAAATTGTGAAACTTACGTAGCGTAACATTGCTCGGCATGACTAGGCAAATAAAGTGCACATCTGCAACTGCATTAAACACAGATCTGTGAATGTAAAAGAAATATAATTATTATACATGTTTTATTTGTTTCCCCTCATGATACAGAAGCTTCAGCCTGTACCTTGACAGCTCTCAACTGTCTATAATATAAGGGCTGTACCAAAAGTAATGTATTCACTTTGAAGTGGTTGTAAAGCTTCATGTTTTATTTTTTTTTTTTTTTTAAATAAAACTATGTCATACTTACCTGCTCTGTTTTTCCACAGAGCAGCTCCGATTCTCCTCTTCTCAGATGCTCTGTCAGTGCTTCTGGCTCCTCCTCTTCATCCTATGCCCCCATAGGAAGCCGCATTGAGAATTGCTATATCCATCGAACCAGACATTGATGCTTTCGTTTATCAAAAACAGTGTCAAATATCGCACTAGATTTATGTTGACCTCTTTTAATTTAATAATAAAAACTGTTAAAAAAAATAATAATTTTTATTACTCAGATAGGTACATTATCTACATCAGTGATCATTAAGTTGTGGTCTGCCGGACTTTTTCTGCTCATCAGCTACCCTTATTGTTGGTGTATTTTATGTGTGGTCCAAGAAAATTCCTTTTATTCTAATGTGACCAAAGAAAATCAAAAGGTTGGCCACCCTGAATAAAACATACTGCAGTAGGAACATACAAAACATACAAATACAGGATATGAGGATGTACCAAGTATTGCAAAAGTGGGCATAGCATTTTTTATTAACTTACAAAGGTCATGCAAATTTCACATGTTGGCAGAGTACCTCTTCCTCTGTAGCAATTCTTTTTCATCGCAGGTAAATAATGGATTCCAAACAGAAGCAACATGTCATCACTGAGTACTTGATGAAGGAGGGGTGGAGGCTGTCTGACATCCACAGAAGGCTTCAAAATGTTTACAGAGATGAAATCAGAGCAAGTTCTTGTCATTGGTGACTCTTGTCAATGATGTCATCTCTGTATAAACATAAATGTTGCAGCCTGCACCCCTCCTTTGTCAAGAACTCAATGACTGCAGGTTGCTTCTACTTGGAATCCATTATTTACCTGCAATGAAAACAGAGAAGAAGAAGAGTTATTATAGAGGAAGAGTTACTTTACCAACATGTGAAAGTCGAACAACCCATACTCAAGTATGTTGCACATGTTCCAAAGACTAGAGCTATTCTGAGATAGTTTAGTTCATATAATTTTATAATAATATATAATAAAATAGATGTTTAATATTAAATATGGAAAAGTTATAGAGGGCTATTTTTCATATCTTGCCTCCCCTGGTAATATTTGTCTGCTCATATGCTTAAAGTGTATCTAAAACCAAAGCCAAAAATGTAACATATTGCAGATTGCTAGTCCTTGATGTGGTGATGCATTAGTTTTCTTTTAACTAGCAACGTTTGCTTTATTTTCACCTGGTAATCCTGCAGATAACACACCTCCTGTTCCTGGGTGGCTATGTCTCCACTGTATCTATGGAGGAAGCCATGGTTGTCATCCTAGGCTGTTCCTGATATGGACTACAAACATGGCCATATCGCTTCATCTTCATTAAATGGGGGGCAAGGCAAATAATAGTTTACAAATGCTAACTAGGAGAGCAGATATTCCTTGGTGCAGCTCACAGGAAGTGACACTGCATTGTTGGCAAGTCTAACATGTATTACCTGTATTTATAACATCTAAGGTCTGTAAGCTGCTTTTATCACATATTTGTACTTGATTTTAGTTATTGTTATCTATTAAAGTGTTTCTTATTTGCACAAAGCTGTCATTGTCCTATGTGCAACTCCACATCACATTTTCACGCTCAAACTTGTAAGAAATAGAATAGGTTAGGACACCATTCTTACCACCATAATTGTGTTGAGCTTAATCATGGTGCAGGAATAGGGACAGCAGTGTCCACAATGGAGTCCACCAATCATGGGAACAGAAGAAATAGGCTACTAGCTTTCATATTATACCGATTGCCACCTCAGATCTCCACTACCCACTTGCTCTTCACTAAAAGGTCATCACCCAGACACATAGGTCATCAGGCAGCTATGAAAAATGAATGAATGAGGTAACAGGAGCACTGAGAACATTTGTAATGTCATAGACTTCCATAGGACTGAGGGTGGATTCCAGGCATGTTTACAATAACTTTAACTAAACCATGAAACCAGGAGAGGGATGGAAGGACATCATCATGCCACTGTAAATGCTGCTAAATTGTTGGGACTAAAGTGGTTATCACTCCTATATTACAGCGCTAGGTCCTCACGTTGAATCCCATCCAGGGCACTACCTTCATGGAGTTTACCTGTACTTGCATGGGTTTCCCCTACATTCACAAGACGTGCTACTAGGTAATTGGTTCCTGTCTAAATTGGCCCTCTATGTGTATGTATGCAAGATTGTAATTTTCTATGAGGACAGGGACTATTGTGATTGTACAATATGTATTATATATATGTAAATACCTTTAATAAATACAATTATACAAAGCCAACATGAGGTTTTGGTCAACAACTACTCTAAAATGAAAATACATTAGGAGAGGACTTGGCCTTTACAAATTCCAGTGACTGAGTTAACATCAGTGGCTGTGCCTCTGTGACTAACAATGGCACATGCCTTTCATATAAGATTTAATTGTGCCATGGATTGTTTATTCTAAGAAAATGAAATTACACAGTAAAATGTCACATAATGCATGATAGGGACAAGTGCTTCAGACATGGAACAAAAGCAAATATTGCAACAGATGTTCTTCTCCCATAGAGAGTGTACAATGTGTTCTGTCAAGTGTATACATATGGAGATTAAAAAGGTGAGCTAGGAGACACTGAAAATAACCCTCTGAAGATCTTTCATGAATAATACATTGTGAGGGTATACATATTTGAATGCAGTAATGTTTGTCATATTCAGATCGGGTCTGTCATGTTTTTTGAGGTTCTGTAATTGCCTTTGATACTTCTTTTGTGTAAATTTTGGAAACTCTGTGATTTTTTTTTTTTTGCATTAAGCTGCTCCCTTAACAATATGTTTGCTCCTGACTTCACCTATATCAGTGCAGTCTAGTCGTTATAGGCCATCTATTCTTTTCTCATCCTGATCTTCTGGTTGACCTCTGAGCATGGCAATTTTTATAGATTTTTATAGATTTGATCATGTTGTAAATTGACTTGTTAAAGAAGTTATAAATGTGAATATCAGACACTGAAGTCAAGAAGCAGGATTGTACATTGTTAATTTATTTATTCATCCTTCCAGGGATCAAAAACTGGTTAATCAGCACAAGCTTTTATTAAAATTATTGTTCATTTGTTCACAAGATTATGCTGATTAACTTGTTTTTGACCCATGCAAGGATGAATACATTTCAAATGGCAGAATATTTAGTGGTGTTGCATCCCATTATCTGGCATATGAACCTACAATGGTGAAGTCGAATCACAGCGGATGCAAATGCAAACCTGGATTTAAGCTTGTGCTTACCCACTGATCTGTCATGTGTGCGTGCATGTGTGATGTGTGCGTGCCTGCGTGTGTGCGTGTGTAAAGCAAACAGTCCTTTTATTTAAAAAAAAAGAAAGAAGAAAAACAAGCAGACAAACAAAAAAAAAACACAGCTCATCTTCAGAAAACAGAACATACAATAGCTGGTTCAGAATTGCCAAACTAGTTAAAGGTGCACCACCACCATACCAGTCCCACTCTCTGGTTTTGAGGTTTCCCATTGACTTCAGGAGTCCCAAGGAGGAAGTTTTCACAGGTCAGGTACTGAAGCTCAGTCCATTCTGTTCACACAGGTGTCCAACGAACTCTCTCACTGCCACCAGCTGCCTCTTTCCTCTTTCTTTTCTGGACTCCGAGGCACTTGGGTTCACCCCTACAGAACCAAATCCTGGTAATCAGGGTTTGGAGGTTCTTCCCACCCAAAAAACCTCTTTGAACCTCCAAAATTCTGGGTCCTTAATAAGGATTTAGCAATCGAGACAGCACTAAAATTCAGTTGCCTCCTCTCCAGACTGCCCTAGAACGCCTCACCCTGCACGGGTAAAAACCCCTCAGTACTCAAGAATTTCTTGAAAAGAGATCACAACTCAGATTTTGGGGGAATATACCTGCCATCCACCACGCATTCCCAATGTCCTATACAGTATACAGTTTATATATACACATATATATATAATTTTTTATTTTTTTTATTAGTGCAGGTGTTATTCACAGATGGTTTAATTAAGGGGTAAGGCTAAATGGTTAGTACTTCCACCTAGCAGTACTAGGGTCGCTGGTTCGAATCCCAGCCACGGCACCTCCTGCCTGGAGTTTGCATGTTCTCCCTGTGCCTGCGTGGGTTTCCTCCGGGTACTCCGGTTTCCTCCCACACTCCAAAGACATGCTGGTAGGTTAATTGGATCCTGTCCAAATTGGCCATAATATATGTATGTATGAATGTAAGTTAGGGACCTTAGATTGTACACTCCTTGAGGGTTAGGGACTGATGTGAATGTACAATATATATGTAAATCGCTGCGTAAATTGACAGCGCTATATAAGTACCTGTAATAAATAAATAAAATAAGGCTCAGCGAGGTGGTATAATACGTAAACACCAATCAATATATTACTCAAAACTCTTTTGTCCTAATTGCTCTACATACAGAAGGTTTCTGTTATTAATGCAAATGACCTATTTACATTTGTCCGTTAATGCAGAAAAACATATGAATGTTACTGCATGAAAATGCATTTCAAGTAGAATCCCATTCTTTCATATGTGGCTAGTTCACATCTATAGCTGCAGTTTATTGTGAAAGGGAAGCTATAGGGGCGGATGCGTGAAGCTGATCTGGACTCTTTTAATGCCTCTGATGACATATGGAAGTGGACACCTGGTGACCTTCTCACTGGAGGTGGTGAACGTCTGGTGTTTGGCTCTGCACCATGGAATAAATTGATAAATCCAAATCTATGGTGGTAGAGGACCCAATGGCATCCTGCAGTCCTCTGAAGACGATGCGGCACTCACTGTGGCAGATCCTCCAGCAGTTCCCTTCAGCACTATGCTCACAGTACACTGAGCCAGACCCCTCTTGGCTTGATTAATTCAAGGGCATAGTCTGTGAGGAGCTAACTGCTACAGCCAAGAGACTGTCATCTGACTTCAAAGGCCAGGAGAAGCAATGTTAGAATCCAGGGGCTCCCAGAAAGCATTACAGAACTCCAAGGCTCAACTCTGGCCCTTTTACAGGAACTGGTTCCAAACATCCTGACAGATCGTTTAGGGATGGATTGCATCCATCAGGCACTGACCTGTACACAACCGGATGGTCCACCCAAAGACATAGTCTTGAAATTACACTATTACCGCACTAAAGATGAGGTGCTATGGGCATCTAGGGACATTTGCAATCTCTAGTTTCAGGGATACCATTACCAAATTAACATGTACAGTGGGGCAAAAAAGTATTTAGTCAGCCACCAATTGTGCAAGTTCTCCCACTTAAAAAGATGAGAGAGGCCTGTAATTGGCATCATAGGTAGACCTCAACTATGAGAGACAAAATGAGAAAAAAATCCAGACAATCACATTGGCTGATTTGGAAAGAATTTATTTGCAAATTATGGTGGAAAATAAGTATTTGGTCACCTACAAACAAGCAAGATTTCTGGCTATCACAGACCTGTACCTTCTTCTTTAAGAGGCTCCTCTGTCCTGCACTCATTTCCTGTATCAATGGCACCTGTTTGAACTTGTTATCAGTATAAAAGACACCTGTCCACAACCTCAAACAGTCACACTCCAAACTCCACTATGGTGAAGACCAAAGAGCTGTCGAAGGACACCAGAAACAAAATTGCAGACCTGCACCAGGCTGGGAAGACTGAATCTGCAATAGGCAAGCAGCTTGGTGTGAACAAATCAACTGTGGGAGCAACAATTAGAAAATGGAAGACATAGTTTGCTAGAGAGCATTTGGATGATCCAGAAGAGGATTGAGAGAATGTCATATGGTCAGATGAAACCAAAATAGAACTGTTTGGTAGAAACACAACTCGTCTCCTCTCTCCTCCAAACACAACGAGTTGTGTTTCAACCAAACAGTTCTATTTTGGTTTCATCTGACCATATGACATTCTCCCAATCCTCTTCTGGATCATCCAAATGCTCTCTAGCAAACTTCAGATGGGCCCAGACATGTACTGGCTTAAGCAGGGGGACACGTCTGGCACTGCAGGATCTGAGTCCCTGGCGGCGTAGTGTGTTACTGATGGTAGCCTTTGTTACGTTGGTCCCAGCTCTCTGCAGGTCATTCACTAGGTCCCCCCATGTGGTCCTGGGATTTTTGCTCACCGTTCTTGTGATCATTTTGACCCCACGGGGTGAGATCTTGCGTGGAGCCCCAGATCGAGGGAGATTTTCAGTGGTCTTGTATGTCTTCCATTTTCTAATTATTGCTCCCACAGTTGATTTGTTCACACCAAGCTGCTTGCCTATTTCAGATTCAGTCTTCCCAGCCTGGTGCAGGTCTACAATTTTGTTTCTGATGTCCTTCGACAACTCTTTGGTCTTCACCACAGTGGAGTTTGGAGTGTGACTGTTTGAGGTTGTGGACAGGTGTCTTTTATACTGATAAGTTCAAACAGGTGCCATTGATACAGGAAATGAGTGCAGGACAGAGGAGCCTCTTAAAGAAGAAGGTACAGGTCTGTGAGAGCCAGAAAACTTGCTTGTTTGTAGGTGACCGAATACTTATTTTCCACCATAATTTGCAAATAAATTCTTTCCAAATCAGTCAATGTGATTGTCTTGTTTTTTTTTTTTCTCATTTTGTCTCTCATAGTTGAGGTCTACCTATGATGCCAATTACCGGCCTCTCTCATCTTTTTAAGTGGGAGAACTTGCACAATTGGTGGCTGACTAAATACTTTTTTGCCCCACTGTATCTGGCTCAATCAACCACTCTGAAGCACAGAGCTTTAAAACATCCTCTCCAAATCTTACAGTCCCATGATATCAGATATCGGTGGGGCTTTCTTTTTAAACTGCTGTTTGACTACCAAGATGCCCATTATGAAGTGGACACCTTCTCGGAACTCCAGAGCTGCCTCCAAACTTTGGGTCAGGAGGACCCGTGGAGTTATGCTCCCAGAATCCCTGTCATTGATGTACACCGAGGCAGTCTCAAGCTGGATCCAGTCAGAAAGCCCACTGATCCCATTCTCAGAGATCTCAAGCACTCCATCTCCTCCACTCTCAGGATTTTCAGACCCAAATGGGTGGCTGAGAAAGATTCATAAGACATAAAAAGTGAAAGAAAGGGAAACTATATGGGTCCATTCATAACTATGTTTGCGCTTTACCAATCATGCTGCAAAACACACCACATAGTGTGAATCAAGCCAGAAGGTAATGATTTGAGACTTTTAATGAATGCATACAGGAAAATAAAACCCGCTACCTGAGGATCTCCTGGATGCTCTGTAGTGAAAATTCCTCCTTAGCCACAAAAAGGTGCAAAAACAGTGTGTTCAGGGGCTGCAAATGAAAATGCATTTTGTTTAGTTAATTTAGTTAAGTGAAACTCCACATTACACTGTTAAAATATTCCAAACAAACAGCAAAAACACTTTAAAACAAAGTCCTCATCTACTACTTACATCTTCATAGTACACAAAGGCACTAAAAACGCAGCTCTTTGCCCCTCTATTTTAAGGAGGGTGTCTGTCTTCTAATGTAAACAAACAGCAGGTCTTCCTAGCTAACAAATTAAAAATATTTATATATATATATATATATATATATATATATATATATATATAAAATATACACATACACACACACAATATATATATATATATATATATATATATATATATATATATTACAAAGAGCCTGTTTACACTTTCAGTCTAAGGTGTGATAGCGAAACTGAGGTTTTTCTACCCCTCCTAAGGTGTAAAGATAGCCGGATAGGGTGTACACATGCCACAACCGTGATGCTTTTCCAAGGTATACCCTGTTCTAGAGTGATTTGCAGCAGAGCACAACCCAGAGCTGTAGCACTATTGCCAGGGGCCTTAGTTTTTAAACTGCAAATAATTCCTGCTGCAAAATTGCCCATATGACATCAGTCTTAGAAACCAACTGAAACACAACTAAAGTCTTTTCTGTGATCTATTAGGATGAATTACTTCACAGTACAAGCAGCTAGACAGGTCAGAGATGGTTTGTTTTAAAGTTGTACTGGTTGTTAAGAGCATGTAATTAATGTTTATTTAATAAAATAGTATGTGACCTGGTGCAACCAGTGATGTGCCTCCATCCATTCATTAATTTATCCATACAACCAATTTATTTGTCCTGGGACTTTGAATGAGATACAACTCACGTGACCAATGATTAACTAGTTTCCAACATTGTTGTTTAATACATGAATAAATGAACTTCTCATTATGTACAAAAAGAGGATATAATGGTGACAAGCTGATTTGTAATGAATCCATATTAATACATTTCATACATAATTAAATATACTGTTGACCATGTACAATGCCGATGTCAATACATGATTCTTTGTTCACTTCTTCAGGCGTAGATGCATGCATAATATCTGTAAGGTAAAACATCAAGTATGTAGCATACCTAATTATATCACATAATACACAGAGTAATGGGACTCTAACACTTACAAATCAGCTAATAGATATGACAGTATTTCAAAACGGTGATCGCCAGGGGAGTGTCACCCGGGAGTTGTGGAAGTATGACTCAGCAAGAACCCAATCCAACTATTTTGGGTGCCATCATAGATTGTTCACCCACGTTTGAATGTGCTTCCTGTTTGTCCCCCTGGGTTCTCGTCACGTCATACTTCTACAGCTCCCGGGTGAGACTCCCCTGGCAATCACCGTTTGGAAATACTGTCATATCTGTTAGTTGATTCGTAAGTATTAGAGTCCCTCTGGTGGCCTTTGAGGTTGGAATTACTCTGTGTATTATGAGATATTGTTAGGTATGCTACAAACTTCATGATTCTACCTTACAGATATTATACATGCATCTACTCCTAAAGAAGTGAACAAAGAGCTACAAAACATGTCAAGTTTTGGGATGCAATTTTAGCATAATCATGTATTGACATTGGCATTGTATATGCTCAACAGTATATTGAATTATGTATGAAATGCATTCATATGGATTCATTACAAATCAGCTTGTTACCATTTTATCCTCTTTTTGTATGTAATGAGAATTCATTTATTATTGTATTAAACAACAATGTTGTACACTAATTATTCTTTAATGTCCATATTTTGGGCTTAAATGCACATTAATTTACCTAGGGTATGTTGCCTGGGGTTATACTTCCAACAGGAAGAATTACACAGAGATTTTGTAATAGTAAATAAGTAGGAACATGACTCTGCATAGGGCATAGGGCATATATAGACTGATTTACCAAACAGTTTAAGTGTACTGTTGGGCCCACGAATCAAGCCAAGTAGCTAAATCGTACACTCATAGTATTTGCTACGTGTATATAATGATTGTATAGATGTGCAGAGCTATGACATTGTACACACAGCCAATTCATTAAAAATGAGGTATGTTAAAGTGGTTCTAAATCCTGAAGGTTTTTTAATGTTAATGCATTCTCTGTATTAAGGGAGCCATTGGCCCCTGCTTCTGTCAATCACAGCCAGTGAGTAGGGAGTGGAGGCAAGGCCAAGCCACACTCTGTGTGCCAAGGGACACACAGAGCTGGCTCGGTAGCAAGCATGCACGAGTGCCCCCTAACAAGCGGCTTGCTATGGGGGCATTCAGCAGGGGGAGGAGCCAGGAGAGCTGGCGGGGTACCCCAGAGAAGGAGGATCAGGGGTGCTCTGTGAAAACAGAGCAGGTGAGTATAACATGTTAAAAAAAATAAAATCTGAAGCTTTAATATCACTTTAAGCAGTATGTGCCCTAGCATCCAAACACACACCAGCTACTAGTGGTGGCATACATCAAATAAAAATGGGACTGAAAGTTTTTAGGGCTATCTTTCATCAGTTGGCAATTTTGTATGCAGTTTTTGTGTAAGAACAGTGAAGCATGGTGTGTGCAGTGGAAGCTCTAAAAGTAACTGTACAAAAGCACTGAAAGTAAAAAAAGCAATGGTGCATGCCTTGCTGAGTGTATCACATAAATGTACATTGTGTGTCACAGTATGTGTACAGCAAGATAAATATCAGTTTATTTCTGTCAACAACATGCTGAATGGGTTTTCTAGAGCTGCATCTTTGTTTGGCAGACCTTAGTGAGCAATCCTGGTGCTTGGCAAAAATATAATTTTTTTTGTGTTTAATTTGTTCTCTTTTTTTTTTAGGCAGAATGCCAACATACACATTACTTAATGCAGCATATCTGCAAAGAAGTCACACAAAAAGAGCCTTTACTAGATGTTCACTGCAAACAGGGGGACATTAGGGGTCTATTTGTAAAACATTTGTTATATGAATGTCAAAAGCATTTGTGCAAACTGAATGAAATGTCACTGTAATCTTTCTAAAAGATTAATGCCTGTATTGTCAGCGCCATCTACTGATCAAAAAACAATATAGTTTTCTGAAATGCCTCAATGAGAAAACTAGGGTTCTTTCAGAGGTTGCTAGGGGTTCCTTGAGCAATGAACAACTTCTGCCTCTCAGATGATTAACTACTGACACCAATGATTTGTTTAAACTACCTGTAAGTGGGGATTCTTACCAGTGACTACAAATGTAAGGAGAATTCTTCCCAATGACCGTCACATAATACACAGTGAGCTGTAGACTGCAGGAGGCTGTTTCTAAATGCTCATTGGTTATACTCACCGTGCACTCGCTGCTCTGCGCATAGTGTTTATGTATCCATTCCTCCCACTCTGATTGGTCCACCACATTCCAGCTTGGATAATCCAAGAAAGCTGCATGAGCGATAACACTGTTCTGATCATCACTGATGGTCACTGCCAGGCTGGATTTTTCACTGAAATCAGACAAAACATTATTTTTAGACAGAGTATTACAGTAAAAAAAAAAAACAATCTGATTTCATTGCCGTTGAACACATTCTTCGTTTTCCTTGTCAGCAATTTTTTACTTCCGTCAGTTTGCCCAGCTAAGCAACTGTGTCTAGTGAGTTAAAGGCTTGCAGCATGGTTCACTGGCAGCATGCTTATTCAGTCTTTGACTCACTATGTAGTAAAGCCAGAATGAGGATAATAACCACAGATCTTGCTAATGTAACCCACATGGAAGAAATATATATATGAAATATATTATGAAAATATTCTTCCCAAATATATTGCCATATATTTGAAATGCTACACTTTTGGCCATATTCAATATATTTTAAAATATATTTCAATAAATTAAAAAAAAAAAAAAAAAATATATATATATATATATATATATATATATATATGCATATATATATATATATATGCACTGCATGTTGAAATGCATTTTTATTACAAAATATATGAAAAATACATTTCAAATATACTGTATGTCTTTAAAAATACAAATCTACATTTTTGGAATACATTTACATATATATGTAAAAATATATGTTATAATGACTTTTT